GAGTATATCTCGGAAACCGTTGGTCCAATCGCTTTGAGTCCTGATACTTTTCGACAGAACTCGCCGAGAACTGTCCAGAACTCCGATCAGAACTACTCGGTACTTCCAAAAAAATTTCCACGTGGGACTTCGAAAAAAATTTTTGATCAAAAATTTTTTGGGAGTACCGAGTAGTTCTGTTCGGAGTTCTGAACAGTTCTCGACGAGTTCTGTCGAAAAGTATCAGGGCTCAAAGCAATTGGACCAACGGTTTCCGAGATATACTCACTCTAAAAATTGTTGATCTTCCGACAAATGTCGCTGTATCTTGCAAACCGTTGGTCCAATCGCTTTTTCACCTTACAGTTTTCGATAGAACTCGTCGAGAACTGTAAGAAACGCTACTCAGAACTACTCGGTACTCTCAAAAAAATTTTCAAAGATTTCCACTATTTTTTTTTAAACTTTATTATTCTTCAAAAATGTTTTTTATGTATCAAGAACTCTAGGTATTCACAAAATACTTCTGTTAAATTGATCAGAACTATGCGACCTTGAATTTCGTTAAAAAGTTAGCACACCATTTTTTAAAAATGATTAAAAAATGATTAAAGCGCATATGTCATTAAAAATCATAGAGAACTCTTCGTATCGTCAAAAAGAAGCAGAAATTATCATCAGAACTATTGTATCTAAAAATTAATTTTTCATAAATTTTTAATTTTTTTTTATTATTCGAAAATTTTTTTTACATATCAGGAACTCTAGGCAATCGCAAATTGAAGCTATTAAGCCGCTCAGAACTATTCCACCTCGAAATTCGATAAAAAGTTAGCACCCCATTTTTAAAAAATGTTTATTGAGCGGAACTCTTGTTATTAACTATAGGGGAACTCTTCGTCTCGTCAAAAGGAAGTGAGAACTCTAATCAGAACTCCTGAGTACTATAGTTGGGGTGCTAACTTAACATACCCTCACATCCTACTTTCTATAAGATTCAATTATATTTACAATCTTTCATATTATATTTTTGCACAGATATTCGGATGATCTTGAATGACCAAACGCAGTTAGAGAAATACGAAGATTTTATGGTTCGAAGAGTACTCGCTATAGAACCTGATGCAAGATGGTGCCCTGCTCCAGATTGTAGTTTTGCTGTAATTGCCAGTGGTTGCGCCTCATGTCCAAAATTACGTTGCGAGCGACCAGGCTGCGATTCGTACTTTTGCTATCATTGTAAAGCACGATGGCATCCTAACCAAACGTGCGATGCTGCTAGAGCGCAACGATCTCAATATTATGAGCGCAGCTCTTCTCTAAGTTTCAGTCAAACTGATTCTCAACACAGTAAGTCTTACGAATTAATATTTATTTAACTAATATCAAATTATATTTAAACTTGTGATCTCTGTTTAGGAGACGATATAAAACCGTGTCCTAGATGTCAAGTTCTGATCGTCAAAATGGACGATGGAAGTTGCAACCACATGACTTGTGCAGTTTGCGGTGCTGAGTTTTGTTGGCTTTGTATGAAAGAGATTAGTGATCTTCATTATCTCAGGTATTTTGTATAAAGCTATATGAATGCCATATAACAAATATATTTAAACGTTCTTCTATTTTATTTATAGTCCTTCTGGCTGCACTTTTTGGGGTAAAAAGCCATGGTCTAGAAAGAAAAAGATTCTTTGGCAACTTGGAACTTTGGTGGGAGCACCAATTGGGATTGGTCTCGTCGCCAGCATAGCATTTCCAGCAATGATTATAGGTTGGTTGTACTAGGACTATATGTTCTATTTAACGCTCACAACGCGCGTGAAATTATTCCGTCCTTGTTGTTTATGTTAAACAAAGACAAAAGATGCTTGCGAGCGTTACGAACGTTATGCGAAACGCTGTCTATTTTAACAGATTATATTGCGACATTGTAAATATGTATAGCACTGAAAAAAATGTGTTACTACAAACATTATATATTTTGTGTTTAAGGTATACCGGTATGGGTAGGTCAAAAATTGTATACGAGATATGAGAAGGCCAACAAGCACAAGAGAAATGCCTTTATCGCAGGGGGAGTCACAGCATCAGTAAGTTTATTCAATATCTTTTATAATTATTAAAGTATGTGCTATATTTAGTATTTGCAAGTTAGTTATTAACATATCAGACTATGGTTATGTCTAAATTTTCATGGTTAAACATTATTTATTATAAATATTTCTCGTGTCACAATAAAAGTAAATGGTTGATCGTGTGAATTCTGTTTATGACCGAAAGAAAAAAAAAAGAAACGTGTATCTGTATCAATTGCAATAGGAACTTTGTTTGCTATTCGTAATAACATCGAAGTATATTTTATCCATACAGTTTATACAGAGAAAATGGATAGTACAATAATTGTATATTATAGCATTAACAAAACAGCGCGTTCGCTGGAATAATTATCGGAAGAAGTTTATCACGGGACGTATACGGGCAAATGGAACGTAATTGTTTCATGTTTTATATGTATATCTCGAAAATACTCTATAACTTTGATATATGTCCTATCATTAAACACGGACCTAGTTGATTCCGTCTTAATAATTGTATCACAACTACTTGCATATATCTTTAACGACTTGGCACAGCACATTAAAGACATTTATATCTGAGCAAAAACTGAATTGAACATTAGAGAAACCTACATCTAATAACAAATCAATTTTTTACGTAGTTTCTCCCAGAAAATTTGCTTTCGATTTTATCTTACTTTTGAGACTTTCATCAAATTGTAAGCGAGTCTTGCGTGAATAGTCATTAAAATATTATAACTTTTAAGGAGTATAATAGCTGATAGGTTGTCAAAGCTTACATTAATATATAACTGAGACATCTATCGTACCCTTTAAGCATATCAATCTTGACTCATCTTGTCCCGTTTGTCTTACAATTAGTAAATCTTGTCGGAAACAGACAAAATCGAGTAGTTTTTAATGTCTATATTTTTCCGATGTGAATGTTTCTTTGCAATTGTCTTCTTCGGTGCCGGCATTCATGTTACTGCTGGCTTAAGCTTCTTTTAGGTTTAAAACACAAAGATCACGCCTTTAAACTACAAACGGGCTATCTATTGCTTCACATGAAATTTTTTGTTTAGAGTCAGCCCCCTGACAGAAATATTAATTCTTCAGTGTATACGCTACCGTGACAGCGATGATTAAGAATCGGCTTCGTTTGTCGTGATAATAGCTTCGTCCGTTAGTACACCATCATTATATAGATCTTCGAGGACGTCAATCAGTCGTTGCTCCGTGAGGGGATCACCGAGTGCGACGTCCACCGATCCTATGCAAAGTAAAAGTGCCAGTAGTTGAGACTTTCTATAGTCCTTGTCGAGATCCTTTCTGGTGTAACCTAAATCCTTGACGATATTTAGGCCAAGATGTAAGCACGTCCAATTCAGTTTATCCCAATACTTGTCCAAAAGCGTTTTAGTGTGCTTGCGCCGCAACTCGGTAGGCACTGAACTCACCAATAACAATGCGATATCGTTCGTCGGTCGACTATAAGTGACCATCTGCCAATCAAGAATGAAACACTCTGTGGGTCTACCTTTCCTGAAAAGTAAATTATTGCTCCAAAAATCGGTGTGGGTTATTAATGCCAACGGACCCTCCGGAGCGAGGAGAGCCGAAATAATATCTTTAGTGCGAGGTCGTAGAACTAGCAGAGTCTCAAGAACCGTCTCCAATCCTGGTCTACTCTCCAGGAAGTGCGCCAGCTGCGGTAAACCGCGTTCTACCAATTGCTGGTACGAATCTGTTGCTTTTGCGGTTTGGAATAGAAATGGATAACGCTCGGATAGAGATTGTCCGTCTACGACTTTCATCGACAGAGAATGGGCATGTATCCGAGCGATGGCGTCTAATGCTGCCATTGCTTGATCTAATGTTAATCCTTCCGAGAATTTAACGCTATCATAATTGTCGCTTAAGTCGCTCAATACTAGCATTGATTCAGGTGGCACCGGACTATCATCCGTTCCACCTGCAGGGCTATAATGAGCATGAAAGCACGTCGGAACTGGTAATATAATATTGCTTTCACATTTATCAATCGCTAGTTGTCTTTCTTTGAATTCCTTCAAATCTGGCATCACCTAGTATACAAACGCACAATATTAAGAATTCGTCAAATAGGAAAAAAAATCTCAAATTTTATTCGATTATTTATTGCCTTACCTGTGTATAAAACTTAATCTCTCGGAGATCGAATTGGCCTTCAGTAACAAAAAAGCGGCTAAACGGATCCTTGGGCAATTGCTTTATGATAAGGTCCGCTCTGCATTTATCAATCGGCTTGTTCGTTATACTCGTAAGTGCTGCTAAATATTTTACTGTAACGCTGGTGATAGCGCTCAGCACACTTTCGCTCGTCGTGCATCCAGAATTTACTTTAAACTCCAAGACTTTGACCTAAATAAATCATTCAATGCTCGAATCAGATGTTAACTATCAATTCGTACATATATCTAACGCAAGCATCGATACAGTTCTCTATGAGTCTGTTTTTTGTTCCTGCACTGTCTGAACTGTAGTATACACGTGCAATAAGTTGAAGTAAAACAAATATAGGTACGTTTGTTTCACTTCAACTTATCGCACCGTGTGTACTAGTTCAGATAGTGCAGGAACAAAAAACAGACCCTATTTCACTTGTTTACATGACTAACCGCTTTGCCCTTGTGGTACTTCGATAATATACTTTCGAGCCACTCCTTCCGGACTTCCCAATCCGAGACAATTTGCTCCTCCCCACAAGAAGTGTCGGTCTCGTCGTCCAAATCGGACATGACTCCTTCCGGCTTGTTTCCTTAGCAACTCTTCTCTTTTCTCCTGTCTTTCTTCACCAATATCTCACTGGCGCGACTCGGCAATGCTCCTGGTAATCCTCTCGCTCGGTGCACAACTATCTGACTTTAGTCAGCGTTAACAAGGCATGTGCTTCGACGAATGACGATGCGCCCCACCGATATACAACGGACGATGTTACGTAGCTAAATTATCGCAAGTACACACGCGAGACGTGCACGCACACGCGTATACACGTTGATTATTAACGATGCGTACGTGTGCTCGCTACCGTGAAATCACCGTCGCTGAATGAGCCTCGTTACGTGCCGCTGCCTCTTCCCGGTTATGTCCACCGCCGATTCTGCACCGATTTGGAGTGGATCGTAGCTGGCGTAGTTCGATGCCCCAGCATGGGTGGAGGGAACGATTGTCTTTTTATTTTAATCGACACGCCCTCGGAGCTCCAACTGATTGGACCGACCAGAGTCTTCTTCCTTGATCTAAGCGCACCAAGCGCGCATTATTCTTAATTGCCACGAAGCAATGTGGACCTCAGAGTACTGACCAATGCAACGCATATTCCATTGTCGCCTATCTTGGGCTTGGTGCTCCGCCGGCCGATGTAGGGTGGGGCGAGGAAGATATCACTACTCGGGCGCATGTCTACTCCCAACTCTCTCGATCAATATTCTTCCTTCTGCTCCTCCCCAGAGGCGTGCAAAAAGAATTGGCCGCCCGCGTACAAAAATAATTTTGCCGCCCCAAAAGTGTGCACATACAGTTATCTGTATCTAGGGATGCTAATTATTAAAAAAAAAAACCAAGAAAGAAATCGTATAAAATGTATGTTAAAAGTACTGGGTTAGCACAAAAGTTCGTAGCAAACTATTTCATTTCTATCACATTTCTATATAAGTTTAAAAAGAATTTGGCATTGAATTACATCATTCGTAGAACAAACAAATTTTAGCTTTACGAATCTATTTTTTAAACTGCGATAGAATTATTTTTATCAGCAATCAAAGTGCTCCTCTTATTTAACCCGCAAAAACTCGATAATAAAAGCTCATTACTAAAAACTTCTAAGAACATTTTTAAAAAACGATTTTGTAGATGGAAAATTTTAAGCTTTCACACGTTAGATAGTCGAAAATTTTTATAAGTTTTTTTGGACACGCTACAGGCTCGTAAAATGAGAAGAAAATTTTCCTTATTCAGCTTATAGTTTTCTGTATGTAAAAATGTGTGATCAAACTTACAGAAACTCAAAAGATACCGTGATAAAAATGTAAAAATTTCAAGCTTCCGAATCCCTTTTTTAAATTTAAATTTTGTTTTTAACAAAGTTTTATTTGCTTAAATTTTGACGTTTGTAGCGCTACAAACTATTTTTTATTAGGTACTCAATAAAAAAGATACAGAGAAAAAACAATTTTTAATGAAAACTTCTAATACTTAAGAAGCTATAACTCTTATAGTATGTCCAAGTATTTAGTATAATGAGTCTTCGACCGCCTTTCTGCAGGCTTTAGCCGTTTGCGTGCTATGCACGCGTTACACGCTTGCTAGACACGCCCCTGCCCCTCCCTGTTTGTGCACGCATTCGGGTTTCTTAGATTTGTTTTTTATTGTTACATTGAACTGCACTAGAACTTTCTTTCTCGCTTTTGCCAAATTTCACAAACATATACTTTATTTAAAGTACGCACAAGAGCGTAGAACTAGAATCGATTAACAATACATCATTTGTCCTTGTTTAACATTTAATAAGCAACAAAAAGATAAAATGATTTTCAAAAAAGATTTTCTCATAAGAATCTGGACGTATAATTAGAGCTTTATTTTGTTTAATTAGTTTTGATTGGTCTGCTATTTTTCAATAACTGAAGAGAGGAGGGGAGAGAAGATAAGGATAAAATAGAAAGAAAAAGAAGTAATGAATATACTCTCTCGCGTAATATTTTTAAAGTAAGGAAATTCTGTATACAGAACGCGGCTTGTGTCTAAGAGAGATCGATTATTGTACCTTTAGTGAGATAAAAATGATCAAATTGATCAAATTATTTAGATATTGCGATCAACGAAATTACAATTCTTGTGACTTTGCTTACTTTTATAATTTTTACCTCGTTTCGAGATACACAATCGATCGGCAGACTCTTATTAAAGAATTTCTAATTCTTAATCGTTGTAAGCATGAATCGGACCATGGTCTATCTCAGTCAGCCCTGTATAAAGAAACAGGGAACCTCTTCCATCTTCGGCCGTATGCCGACTCCATTCTCAAAGTCTAACAGGAAATCTGAAAATTGGAGCGCGATAATGCATTTCCGACAACTCCCAAATTCATTGCCTCACTACGTTGATGGCTGTGCAAGCTGGTACGATATGCCGTATTTCATTTCCTTCTAGAATGGCGGGATAAGCGAAATCGTTCCAAGCATGAAAATGTAATACGCTGATAAACGTGTAGTAAAAAATGTAAAATCCTGAGACTTGAGAGGTGCTCGAATATTGTTCTGGATAAGATAAAAAAATCAGCTATCACTTTGAGATAAGTATAAGTGAAACAGGATTTTATATCAACGAAAATAATTGATTTAAATTATTTCCTTTTATCGAAAACATGATTACTTGGTTTTACCGAGCGACATGAGCATTAAACTTTTATTATCGGAGTTCTTTATAACTCTATGTAGTTACATAGTGACCTTCGATATGTGTCCGGACTGTTCCTATTTATATTACTTAACAAGTGCGGACGTGGCATTATTTAAAGCAAGGAGTAGCCCTCAAGACGTCAATAACATGCACACTTTGTTATCCTGGCAAGCGATGCGGATAAAATTTTTTAAACAAAGGTGTTTATTAATTTATTCTCATAACTCCTACAGGTCTTGGTATCACCGGTACTAGCAGGATTAGCTGTGGGTATTGGTGTACCCATTTTGCTGTTCTACGTCTACGGCGTGGTCCCAGTGTCCCTCTGCCGAAGCGGAGGCTGCGGCGTCTCCACGAGTGGCACTGGAGTGCGATTTGAATTTGACGATGAGAATGAGCTGATGGGGGCTCTAGGCGTCCGTAATGGTGGAGGTAAATGTGATGCATTTGTGCCACACACGTTCCACTCGATTAAATCCATCTTATCCACGTGTGTACCGCGGCTATTCATACCCCCATATCGAGATCGAAGTATTGCGATCAAAATCTCTATTACAAAACTGTCACGTTACAGATGCGGCATCAATAGACGTCGCAAGTCACCGTGGTGGCAACCCATCGATAGGTGAGGCCTCTCTTTCATTGGGTAGCGGTAGTCAGTTAGAGAAATTGGGTCGGGAAAATGACCGTGAAAGCGCTAGCAATGTAGCCCTTGCTGGTACGAGCCTCGCAGGAAGTATAGCCTCTAGTGTGCTACCTGGAGGTCAAAGGTAGTTATTTTGTTTTTTGTTCGTAGATTAGATAATGCGTTTTTCACTAACATGTTCGATTACATATTCAGGTTGGAAGTCCAGGCTGACGTTACATCTACTCAACGTTTCAGTTTATGTAGTGAAACAGCTTCCGCAGCTACTAGTTTGTCTGAAAAGTCCGTAAACGCTTCTATCGCTCTAGACGATGGTGCGGCCTCCACGAGAGCTTTGGCAGGTTCCGTTCTTAACTTTAAGGTACTTAGTCCTGATAAATATTTAAACAGAAATTTTTTTTGTTTTAATATTATAATGTCCGATTGATCTGATTTGATTGTCTGATTGAAAAAGTATCAAGATAAATTTTAAATCTTATTATTTTCATTATTATCTTTTATGTAGATGGATGGCAGTTCAATCAGTGGTGGCAGAAGTACAGAAGGGGAACAGGCAGCTAGCTCTGCTAACGATGGTCACATGGACTCTGCTGGACAAGCTACTTCTTTGAGCTCCCTAGAAGAAGTGGCACCTGGTTTAGCAAAACGTATTCGTCGTAAACTCACATTTGACCGTCAATGCAGCGATTCTAGTAGTTGGACTATGTGCGGGGAGGACGGCGGTTCGGAACGCGTACGATTTGACGATCATGTCAGTGTAATTGAAGCGGATCAAGAGAGGATAGTAGGAAAATTGGAAGGTTGTGTAGTAAATAATCGCTCAGCGGGAGGGAGGAAGCGAAACAAGGATTCAGAGATAGAGATGGAAGTTCAAAAGACATCTAAGTACGAATCGCGCAACTAAATTTAAACTTAAGTGACGAATAAAAGCAAAATTATTGTGATAATATTGTTTGTTTAGGAATTCGAACGGTGAATTAAATGCTGAGAGCCCTGTGGACGATACTTCGCGGGAACGCGTCAACGTGGCCACTTTGAAAAATGTATTTTTTCACGCTTCAGCGGTATCTACGGATCGCGAGAAACGATTGTCTGTTATAGAGGAACCAATGCCAATCGTACCGCACATTTCTGGTAATCAGATCTTCACGCCTCTACATAACGAGTGTCAAAGCCCTACTAGTACGGACAAGAGCTTACAATGCTAAGAAAATTAAGACTGAATGTTATGGGCATCATGGTATGCTTGTATCTCTCGAATCGATATATGTATAGATACGTATATACATATTCTTGAGTGTGTATGTATGTATTAAATTACATAACTATAATCCGTAAGTATAAACACGAAAATTGTACATACCCACATATGCAACACGCAGTATAGTTCAAATATTACATGTGAGAGAAAAAAAACGTGGTAAAACAATTTTACTGTGCATTTGCGCTGTGATTATGCATATACTAAAAATTTGTGAATGTTACACACATATAAAAAAACAAACACTTGTGCTGGCCTCCAATTCGTTATCTTAAATGATGAAAAAAGGTTAATGAAATTTTTTTGCGCTAATATTTTGTGACTGAATATTTTTAACGTTATTATAACAGATTAAATAATCTTATAACTTATATTTAAATTATTCCTCAGCTTCCAGAATCCAGTTTGTAACGAACTGGTGAACAATACAAGCTAAGAAAAAATTACAATGAAAGTTAACATCGTGGATTATCGTTGCATTTTATAAGTCGAATACTGCTCATTACATCTTCAAGTATTACGCGTTTAACAGTCAATATATACATATATATATACATATATGTATAAATATATATGAGAATAATTGAATAAGAATATTCTCTAAAATATATAT